GGAAAAGTTGTAGTGGAGACCTAGCCGGAGGTGATTCCGTAGCACTGAAAAACGTGAGATACTAGCTTTGACCACGACAGGGTTAAAATCACAGATAGGGGGAGAACAAAAGAGTAACAGTGATGCCTTGAGAGTAAGCTACTGTTCTAAAAACTAAAGTAGCAAAATGAACTGTTTCTGCATCTCTGCTCAGCTTGTCCTTAGATTCCTGTAAGAATTGCGTCAGACTGATTTTATTAAGGTTCGTAGTAGAAAACCCTTGGTACTAAAGCTGGAAAAGGAACCTTTCAATATGTCCTGCTGGGCAATCCTGTATATTTAGTATTGTAATGCAGCTCTTCAGACATTTCCCAATGTCTCTTTAAAATGATTGCATTACAGCTTAATTATGGGTAAAATCTGCCTAGGTCGGCTGGAATAAGAAGGAACGTGTAACTAGGGAGCAGAGTGCTGGAAGAAGAATTAGTGGCAGAAGAGCTTTCAGAGTGTGGGATGAACATGGCTTCTTGGCTTAAACCAAAACAGGCCTAGGTCAGGCCGGTCTCCGTGGCCTCTGATATTTGGCTACGTGGTATTGGACAATGGTATACCCTAGCTGGTGAATTTTATTAGCTTTGCATAGTGATGCAAGGTAAACATGGCAACATGCAGCTCTCCTGTTTTTTTCTGTAAGTCTTTGTGTGGCACTAATGACACTGCCTTTTTCTTAGTGTGCAGATTTCTCTGTTCAGTGTATTCTTTGACAGAGTTTTGTTGGAAGCTATGGAAGAAAATATCCTCAGTAAAGTGAGGAGAGAGAATGCATCCCTGGCCTATAGTTAGCAAGGATCTGAAAAGGATTTTGAAGAGCAGTAAGCCCTCAGCTACTTTTACCCCATGCTGCAAGGGAAATGCAAGCAATTACGGTCCTAACCAATGTACAGTTGGGATCTCAACTTGGACTTCATCCTCGCAGACTGCAGGTTTGTGATTCCTGCAACGGATGCTCTTGTATCCCTATCTAATATGTACTGACTTGCTAGGTAGATACCAGTGTGTCGGACTTCCATGTGGCAGCTCTGCTTTAGCAGTTAAAAATAATTATCCTGTTAAGCCTTTGTATTCTAAGAATTAATCTGGGTCTGTGTTTTCTAAAAGCTTCTAGAACTTAGCTTCAGAGGGACATGCAAATGTTTCTGGGCTTTTTCTCCCTACTGGAGAGAACAGCATTGCACATTGCATTTTAAAACTGTGAAAGCTGTGTGAGCCTTTGCGGTCAAACTTGGATCCACAAATTACTCTTCTTTATTAGACCCAAGTATCTTTTCAGACTTTTGTATGCCAGTGTGTGACTGCGCAAAATAAGAATTCATTGATAAAGGAAACTTTCCGTCAATAATTACTTTTGAAATGCTGTAGTCATAGGAGGGTTTTACATGGCATAATTTAAATTTAACTGTAACCAAAACGTAGCTCGTACTTAACCATGCAAGTGTGCTTGGCAGGAAGTGGTAGCACATGTCGCCAGGCTTGCTCTACGAATGTTTGCAGCTCACCACTTCCTGTTACCGAAGTGAAAGAACAAAAGAAACACCAGTTTCTAGTTCTTTTTAGTCTCTCAAAAGTTGCAGTTGCATTTGTTAAACCTCTTAGTACCATAACAGAGGTATTTATGGCCTTCCCCTTTATATTCTTCTTCTAGCTTTGGAATTCATCTTTATTTGAGAATTTTGGTGAAGCTATTGTTATCTTTTGGAGAAGATATTTTTTGTGCAGATCCTGAGTTTTAGAAGTGATCAAAGGAATGGTTGTATAAATCATTTTGGTGCTGCGAGGGAAATGACTAACCACAAGAAACCAGTCTGTGCAAGGCATGGATTGGTGCACATAGATATCTAACTGCAGCGTAAGCTTGCTTTGTCAGAAAACCATCCCTACAGGAGCCTTTCACTGTTCATGCTGATGTGTCTTAGCTTCAGTAGTTGACAGTACATACAGAATTATCTTTAAACCACAGTAGTCTCTGAACCTAGTTTTCCCAATAGTTGCTATACTTAATTCTAGGACTTCAGGCCTAGACACAAAGGAGCTTTTAAAATTGATTTAATTTGCTGTTGTCCATGATACAATACCATTTCCAGAAGAATCTGTATTTGTGCTTTATAACCTTTGAGGCCAAAAGAAAATCTGTTCGGAGCAAAGGTCATTTGTTTTCAGACCTGAATACAATTACCTGTAATTTCAGCAGGTGTTGCACCTAGTTAGGAGAAAAATCTTTACCACGGGGGAGACACAAAATCCTATCAAATGTAAAATGGAAACACTTGCCAAACTTCTGTTACATATAATAAGGATTTTTTTAAAGTACACATCATTCTTATGTAATTTTTAGAAGAATGCGAATTAATGAAAACATCTTTTTGCCTGTAAGTCTGCTAGTGAATCTTGGGAAATTGCAATTGTAGCAGTAGTCATAGCATTTTAAATTAATGCAATTAATTTCATATGCTGTTAAAAGTGCTGATGTGATATTTCTGCTCATAATTGTATTCTAACTAATGGGCTAAACTATGTATCCATAGCACGTCAAGATTAAGTGGCTGAAATTTGGTATTTTCAGTATATTAAAGTATTAATATCGCATGTGAGAAGAATGAAAGTCAAATAGTTAATGAATGTCCATATTTCATATTCAAATGCTACTTAGTATATTAAAAAATCCTGTAGCTTCCTGTTTAAGTGATGGATGAATTCTGAAAGCTAGAAACAGCACTTTCCCAATTAAGATACTCTTGATAATTGTCACTTAAATTACATCTGAGAAAAGACAAAATTAAATAAATAAAATAACCTACACCCCTCCCAATCTTTTATAAACTATGACTAAATGTCAAGTCACTATTTAAGATTCAGTGAAGAAAAAATGGGCCATTAGTTTCAAAACAGATTAATTGGGGGGTAAATGGGGGTGGCTGTCCTGGGGTTCAAAATTCTGGCAGTCATGTAGTGGGACTTGAGCAGTCTTAATTTGAGCTATGTTATACTATAGGTTTAGAGACACGAAAGTTAAAATAATCCAGGGTAAAGGCTAGTCTGTTTGGAAATCTTGGCTTTGATTCATAGATTCGATCCATTTGATCCTTCTAAACCTTAAAAGACATTATTAAGCCCTTCTGAATTAATTCAGGTTTTTTTTACCCATGGCTTAAAATCTGTCTTCAAAATCAGTCACAGAACTGATGGATACCATGTGGAAGTGTAAGGGGGGGAAAGGAGAGAAGTGTTTTCTTGGTACCTTTTGGAGCTTCCTAGAAAATCTAAGTTACTCCTAAACCGGTGTTCTTGAAAAAATCCCATGCGTGATCTACTTCAGCCACCTTCAGTAACTATCTGTATAGCTTTTATCTCCTGTGATGCTTTACCATTTACTGTGATGTCTGATTAGATTGCATTAAACATCAGTTTTCAAAAGCAGATGCCAGTTTTGAAAAGGAACTAAGGGGTCATAGTATGTATTTTTTCCTCAGAGCCAGCAAAGGTCCTAGGGAATTGACTTGAACTGCAGGGGCTTGCCAAAAGTTGAGAAAAATATACATTCAAACTAGTGATCTTATTGGTGTAAAATGGAAGAATTTTGAGATTAATTCTTCCTCTCATAATCTTGACTAACTCTAGTAGTGAGTCTGAGTTTGGTTTATTTTCATTGTGCAGAATAATTTATCCTTGACAAGTTGGATGCAGCTGAAAACCTTTGTGCATTCTCAGGACTTTCTAGTGTTTGGAAGAAATGACAACTTCAGAATAATTCTTTTGCTTAAGTTTGCTCTTACCAAATTGTCAGAAGGAAACACTTTCTCTTCATTTATTGCAACACTTAGAGTATCTCTTTCTCTGGCAGGAATTGACTTTAAGATCAGAACAATAGAATTAGATGGAAAGAAAATCAAGCTACAAATATGGTAAGTATTCCAAAGTAATTTAAGTTTTCAGTGAGTATTGAATTAATCTTTGAGCAGGAATACTTCATAGCTTTTGAGCCTGGGTGTACCAGAAGTTTCATATCTTTTATTCATTGACTGTCCATAAGGTTTGTGCTTTATTCTAGCTTGCTCTTGGCGTGATTCTGCTTCAGTAGCACAGGAAATAGCCTGTTCACATTGCGAACATTACAGCAACTTCCCATTTTATCAAAAGCTGTCCTCTTAAACGTGCTTTTAGCTCTTCCGTGTGAAAGAGAAGTATTAACTCCATAGCTGTAAACTAAAATGCATGACCTAATAAAATGTAATCTCCTCTGATACTTTGATGCCTAGTTGTACTCAGAGAGGCATGGGTGAGTGGTAATGCTCCCATTCCTTGCATGGTGGGTTAGTAGAGACTGAGCCTCCTGATAGCAGCAGATGAGTGGTTTTGGAGTAGCATTATTACACATGCCAAACTCTTTAAATGCTACTGGTGAATGAAGGGCTCTTGCTTATTTCTCAAGTTCTAGAAAAGATAGTTGTGATACTTGCATGCGAGCCAGAATTCTTTTGACAAAGGAAGTGAAGTGCCAGAAGTGGTTGGTACAATTTTCTGTCTGTAATATAAGTCAAAAAGCTGTTTTTTGTCAGGCCTTTGGGGTTCAGGTCCCCCTAGGTGTGACTAGTAGCCAAACACTTTGGTCCTCTTGTTCACTCATAGACAGATACTGCTTTGAAGTCATCTAGGGTAAAGTATCAGCACACTAAGGTGTAGTGGCTGATTTTAATAGCTAACTGTGTGTGAAAATGCACTATTCTAAAACATTTTAATGCTGCATGTTTTAATTTTTGTTTAATGCAGGACTCGGATGCATCAGGGATGCCTTTTAAAATTATTCTAGGGAAGGCTGTGTAGTGCTTAGTTCTACTGCTTGCATGAAAATTTAAATACTTTTGTGTCATATTTATGGTGCTGCATAGCCACTGATGTAAGTAGGATAGCTTGAGAGCAAGATGTTGGAGGCTGAAGAAACAAACAGCTTCTAAATAGTATTTATTTTTTTTCATAATGAGTGAGTATCTATACATTGTTACTCTGTTTGAAAAGACATCTCTAAGTACAGAAGAGTGTAAAGATCACCTCCAACAAATAATTGTTTTCACTGAATTTTAGGGATACAGCAGGCCAGGAGAGATTCCGCACAATCACAACAGCTTACTACAGAGGAGCCATGGTGAGTGCTCTCACTGGAAAAAAAAATTAGGCACAACTAGTGTAACTGGTTTGCTGTTCTTAAGGTTATATCATGTAAGTCTTTGGCTGGAGGACTGGATAATTGTGGCTTGAGATGCGGGGAATAAAGTTTGTGGTTTGGTTGGGGGCTTTTTTGTTTTGGGCTTTTTGTTTTTTTAGACCTGTTGGTACTTTGTCTAGTCCTGTTTTTGTGATGAAACTTTAAGCCCTATTTTCGTCTTTAATATAATTAAAATTTCTGCAGATTATAATAAGCTAAGTTGCCAAGCTTTAATCAAACAGGTTTTTTAATTCAATCAACCCCTTTAAAAATTTGAAATATTTGAAAAATAGGTTAAAAAATGATTTAAATATTAAAAGTGTATTTCACTGAATTGGTTTTCCTTCAGCGAGTAGAGAATGCAAAATCTGGACTAGAAATACAATCACCTACAAAAGCTACTGTTACTTTTTCCTCCATTAAGAATGACTTGAAGTCAAATAACTGACTTAGAGCCTGCATTCTTTGTGGTACGACTGCTTGTAATGGTTCTTAATGCTATGATTTGAGATACTTTATGTTGTGACACTGTTAATTTCAACTTGCTGATTACTAGCTATGCTGCTACTACATGTTCTTATCGCTTTGTATGAACAGATCTGTTCCATTCATAGGCTGGCTGTGGGTCCAGATAACTCCACTGTTATGGAATACTGATGGGGAGAAATAGTAATGGTTGTGGCTATGTGTTAGAGCTTCTTAGTACTTTAAAAAGGTTTTGACAGTGATGTGGTCTTCTCCTCACCTCCCAGTCCATGCCCAAGGACTTTTCTTTGTCCTACGAGGAATGATTGGAAAGGCAATAAGGAATGGAGGTGAACCTGGCAATCTGTCTTTAATTCAGCTGTTGTGTGGTTTCCCATGCTTTGCTAATTGTTGAGAGCCCACGCTAGTATAAGTACATAACTGTCTGGAAGAGCTAAAGCTTCTGGGAGAGCACCTAGTGTTCGCTTTGCTCTAAGTATCTACTGGCCCCAGCAGACTGGATCTCACAGGGTTGTCATCTTTGACTGCTTAAAGCTGCTGCTTCTAAACTTGACTTTAACAATAGAGTCCTGGTTGCTGTTGTAGTAGAATTTCTAAACTTCTCCTGACTATAGGCTAATAATTTAAGAACTTCATATAGATGGTATCTTTGACCTCTAACAGTGGCAAAAGATGTTAATTAGTAATATTTTGGGTAAATTCTCAGCAATGGCATAATGCTTTGAGAAAGGATTATAGGTACATAAGTCATATGTTGAATTTCTTGCAAGTATAATCAAACCAACAGCATACATGAAAAGTCAACCAATAGTGCTAGCTCATCTAACTAGACTTTCTTAATTTTATTTAGGGAATTATGCTGGTGTATGACATCACAAATGAGAAGTCTTTTGACAACATAAAAAACTGGATAAGAAACATAGAGGAGGTAGGTGCTTTGGAAAGTACTTCTTACTCATTCCATCTTATGATTTTGCTGGGACAAGTAATAATCAAGCAATTATTCACTTTCATTACAGTAGCCAACATATATGGCGAAGTTAGACTGTGCAGTGAATGCAACAGTGGTTACTAATGGGGAGAATATTATCTTGTTCATCTAGGGATAGAAAGTAGAAAACTTAAGTTTAAAAAGTAAGCATGAAGTAAACACTTCTGCTCTTACTATATGACTTACTGTTCTTTTTTGCTTTTGGGTGTGTCTAAGGAATGGGAAGGACCAAGATCTTAGGGTGTCTGCCTTTCACTGAGATGATAATAGATCTGTCTCATTTCAGTTGTTACTGTGTTGTGTGTTTGTTAGATTAGAGATTTTTGACCTTTTCATCTGGTCTTGAGTAAGCTTCCTTCCTGCTAGCTTATTATAAATTATTTAATGGGACATGCTGTCAAATAGGGATACGTCATTATGAAGTTAGAGGAGAAACCTTACTTTTAGTGAAGCTGCAGTTAGGTAACAGAATCTTACTTTTTTTTTTTCTTAAACATAAAATCCATGGGCTTTTCTTTAGTATTGTTCTTTGGCTCTTAAGCAAAATTCCTGTACTGGTGAACAATTTGATCCAATAGAGACTGGGCTAGAAAAGTTCTCTTGCTGAAGTGATTATTGCTTTAAAAGTCTTTTATTAATAATCTATTTTAAAATGCAAACGTATTGCATAATGATACTCCAACCAAGTACCACAGATGTCCATTCACCACTTTGAAGTAAAGTGTGTACTGTTATATTTCCAGAATAGCCAAATGCGTGTGCATGTGTGCAACCTGGTACAGAGCTCATGGTACTGTATTTGATCTGTAATAATACTCAGGCAAATTTAATCTAGGAGTATTTATTCCAACCTGTTTCAATATTTAAATACTAAAATGCCTGTTTCAAAAGTCAGTCTCTTTCTCAGTAACACCTTCACATTAGATAACTTTTTAAAAATAAAATATTCATTTGTGGATGAGTTTGACACATAAGTTTCTTTTAAATAATGGTGCACTTTGTTACTGGGAGATTACTTTTCCTTCTTTCAGCATGCCTCTTCAGATGTAGAAAGAATGATCCTGGGTAACAAATGTGATATGAATGAAAAAAGACAAGTCTCAAAAGAAAAAGGGGAGAAGGTAAGCTTTGGTGACTTGCCTTATTTAGAAGCCTGCTTTTCTTAGGATTTTGGCTGCTGGATATTTGGTATGTTCTAGGCATATGAGAGATAATGGGCCTTAAACCTCTTGTTTCAGAAACTTTTATATATTATAGGATGCCAGGTTTGGGGTTTTTGTTTTTAAATAGCACTTGACTGTCTTCAAGTTTGAATAAACTTAATGGTACTGTTGTCTTGGGGAGAAGATCCTGTAAAGAATGTTGACCTTTGCCATACCATGAAGTATTCTAGACCTCAATGTAAAGCTTTGTATATAGTTTGAGCATGTTGCGTACTCAATTCACCATAGTGGTTACTTACTCTTGTCATAAGTACTGTTATTAAAGCTTAAGTAATCAGTTGTTCTGCAGAACAAACAAGCAAGTAAGAATACTATATAAAGTATCATGTGCACAGCTAAAGTAGTGTAGTTGCTAGTAACACAACTTATGGGATGATTGTATGTAGTTATCTGGTCCATCAATCTATATCAATGAAGATTCTATCTTAATGTTCTTTTAGGTCCTAAATAAGTCTTTTTGTGAGCAGTTAATCTCTTTACTGGTTTTGAATTTACGTGAGGGTATGGCCTGTTCTAATATTTTGTCTAATTGTCTAGTAACTTTAATGCTTTTGCAAGAGAAAAGCAGAAATGAAGCTTGTTTGGTTTTGTTTTTAAAGCTTGCTACAGCATACAGCATCTATTCTATTATGAACCTATGTGAAACATTCTCTTACAAAGCAACTTAAAAAACACTGAAAAACTTTAACCTCTTTTCCAGTTAGCAATTGATTATGGAATCAAATTTTTGGAGACAAGTGCAAAATCCAGCATAAATGTGGAAGAGGTAAGAGACGGGTGTTACGCTTAGGTGTGTTTCTTGAACTACTACTCGGGAGGCATGTTTCATCATCTGCTGGGCTTTCTGACCTGATCTGGGACAGTCCCAACTGTGCTCGCGGGTCACCAGTTTTGTTCTATGTAGAGACCTACTGTAAAATCCAGCATCTCTTGTTTTCTGGTAATGTCTGGAACTGTTTTTTAACTGGATGTTAACAGAGTGGTTTACTATTATTGTAGCAAACAGTTACGTTAGACTTCTGTGCCTTGCTACTTAAATTGCAAGTGCTTTTGGACAGGGAATAGGTGTAATTTTAGAACAATGCTTTGTGCGGGAAATTGGATTCAAGATTCTTTACTTTCAGAATAACGTTCTACTGTGTCAAGGAGCCTTCAGGTTACTACTAAATATGGGCTGTGCAGATGAGACTGGAGATTTGTATGTTAACCTGGAACATCAGCAATAGACTGTCATAAGCTGATGTTAAAGGAGGAAGAAGGCTTATAATACTCCATAGATAAACTTGCAATCTGTTTTTCCTGCAAATAAATTTTGTACTAAAACCACAAGATCCCTATTCATGAGAGCTTAAGGAAATAGAATCGGAAGGAAGAGTGGCTCAACTCCAGTCTGTCTTGCCGTGAATCACTCTTGGCATCTCAGGGAGGGTGGGGGGAGGATCTTAACTTTATGAAAAGCGTGGAGAAGAAAATAATATGATATCAAAAGGCAGCTACATTAAGATTCATTCATTCAGATAAGGCAGACTTGTTCTTGAATGTTGTTCCTATACCTAATAATCTAAAAGGCTTTCCATGTGTATTGATGGGATACCTTTAAAAAGTCCTCCAAACACATACTTAATTCAGATCACGCAGCTAACAAATTAACTAGAAACTAAAGAGATTGTTACTTTAAAATAACATGACTGATGCTGTGCCAGCCAAGTGTGTTTTTCTGATTGCAGGATGGTTGTTATACAGTATAGTTAGAATGGCCTTATTTGCATTGTGCTGCATCTGGGACAGTGCTTGACGTGATTTTCACAGTGTTATCATGATTCTTAGAGCAGACGATGGAAGTGTGAACGTTAGCAGCTAATACCAATGGTGGATAGCAATAGTCTCCTAATAAAAAGTACCTATCTTCTTCATTAGTTCCTCCAGGTGGTTGACTTGCTCTTTCATAACATGCCCTGCAATTTCATTTTAACTCCTGTAGGTCACTAAATGTACAACATTAGTTTGTGCTTACTCCAATTGACTTGGCTATCTGAATATTTTTTTAAATTGTCACATGAATAGTGAAGAAAGCATTAAAAAAATGCAGCTGGTATAGGCATTCAGCAAGTAATGATTTAGTCTTCTTTCCACCAAATGCTTAACTTGTGGGAAGTGAAACAGTTGTGATATTCTTGTGATCAGAAGTGAATGTACTGTATTTGTTGTGATTTATTTGCATTAAATAAGAGGGGAAATGTTTACAGTTTTTTACATTCTGGAATTGTCCTTGGATTGTTGGTATCTCCAGATAGCCTAAAATCTTGCTTTTCCCTGCTTCTGGAGAATTGCAGAATTTTTCTGCTACAGAAGTTTCTTTGCTGCTTCGTACATTGAAGTCTCAGATGCTGAGATTTGCCAGAGTGATTTTATTTTTATTTTTTTTTAATAGGGATGTTGAAAGCATAAATAACATTATGGATAGTCCAGGAGCAAAAATTTTTGAGGACAGAAAAGCAAGCTAATCTTGATATGAATTCTCGGGGGTGCCATCCTCAAACCTTTCTGTGGGTTTCTAGTTGCGATGCACAGTACAGTTTGGCAAAAAAGAAAAAAAGTATTAGTGTATGCAGCCTTCCCTTCAGCAGGTTTTTTGTTTTGTTTTTTTCCTCAAGTGGTATGCGATGGGAAAGTCTGTTTATTTGCTTCAAAGATTGGAGGGATGGAGACTAAAAATAAATAAGTTTTTCTTCTAAAGCATGCTTACTGCAGTTTTAAGTAAACAGCTATTTTACACAGAGTGCAACTCGAAGTGCTAGCAGTGACCTACAGAATACTGTATTATTAATGTGTCTGGCTGCTCCAAATCTATCTTGTCTTTAATGTGTCTTGTGACTAAATTTTTTTTTTTTTCCCCCCCTTGCTCCTCACCAGGCATTTTTCACACTTGCACGGGATATTATGACAAAGCTCAACAGAAAAATGGTTTGTATTTCCAGTTGGCATACAAACTAGATACATTGAAATCACTATTATAGTAAATGGCTGAGTGGTAGCCCTACCAAAAAACTGCTGGGGATTACAGTGGATGGTAGATGAAATTTGAGCAAACAGTGCTTTATCACACTTTATTACACATCAGCGTGTAATTGTTCTTTATTTTGCATGAACATTAACATTGGGCAGCCTGAAACTGGTGTGTTCTTCTGAAATGTAACAGTGTGATCCTTGCTTTATTAAATGTCAAATGACGTAGTAACTCCTTCAGCTAATACTTGAGATCTGGATTGTTGGATCGATGTTTCTTTTTAAAATAGGCAGTTTTCTTGAGCGATTAACAGGGTCTGGATAATTGAGAAGCTCAAGTTGCAGCAGACCTCTGCTCTGGTTACTGCTTTGCAAGGGAGGGAAGCGGGGAGGGAAATTAGGAAAACTAGACTTATTTTTTTTCTGCCTTTTATGATGTTGATACTCTTTTCTCTTTCAGAATGACAGCAGTTCATCAGGGGCAGGTGGGCCAGTAAAAATAACAGAAAATCGATCTAAGAAGAGCAGCTTCTTTCGATGCACGCTACTTTGATGAACTTCTAATGATAGACTGCAGCACACTTAGAACCTTTTCTGCTTCTTTGAAAGCACAGGGTCACAAAGCCTCAGAAATAATACCACCAAGCTGCTGCTGAGAGCTCCATTGAACGTAGACTGCGATACACAAAATACCAAGTGGATTTTGCTCACTAAGCCTATTGACCTGTCAGGCTCTTCTTTCTCAGATATGGAAGCTATGAAGTGGAGACACAAATGCAAGAGTTAACTTGTTTTCCTTTTTTACTTTCTGTTTTATTGCCTGTTGCTGCTATGTTTCTTTTAACTTTGCACATCCATATTGGCCTCTTACTGCCTGTTACAGCACAATCTTACATTTGTATTTGCACAGTTTGACTTGTAAGTAAGATTCTTAACAGATTTGTGCAGGTTTTTCTTTCTGTTTTTAAACAAATTTATTTTCAAGCAGAAGAGCCAGGGGAAAAACTGTCTCACTTCCATTATTTTCTATGCTGTATACTTGTGGCCATGACTGCAGTATGGATGTTGACACTCTAGTGATGCGAATTACTGTAACAATTGGCATTTAATGATTTGTATGGGTTTTGTCTCTCTGATGCACAAATCTGTTCATGCAGAAGCTATGGCTTCTATTCTGAATGTAGTATGTTGCTTTTCTTTCTTTACCAGACTTAGCAAAGTTGTGTTCTGAATTGCCAGTCACTGTCTGATTCACAGATGCACCTTTCAGTTATTTGAATAAACACAGTGTCTGTCCTCACTTCACTTCCCTTTGTTAGCTCAAACTGTCTGCACCTTTTTTCTTTCTGGTGAGGAAGTATCCTCTGGAGTTGAAATCATCATCACAAATTGGCCTCATCACTATCACTTCAGTGGCTTGTGGAAGCTGAATGCATGAGTTTTGAGTAACCTCTTTGTGGATTCATTTGTTCAGAAATGACTGCTTCTAAAGGTGACTTCCATTTCTACTGTAATTCTAAGGATGGTTCATTAATGTCTGTAAGCATCAACCCTTGACAACAGAGGCGTCCAAATACTAGCTTCCTGTGCAGTTGCTAAAGTTTATCAAGTTCTGGCACTAAGGAAATGGTCATGTTAGGGCTAAAATGTACTATTAGTTATGCAGTTAATGCTGAATGTGTGAAGCCCTCTTTGGTCTGCTCAAGCAGTTAAGTTATTTTTTTCATCAAAAACTGGTACAGTGACCTAGACTGTTAGAAGCAGAGTTGAAACGTAGTTGCCTTTTTTACTCAACTGAGCATTGTATAACCTAGTCTTTGTTCTACTACTTTTTTTATTGTCTTCTGAAAAATTTCCTCAATGAGCAATTAAAACAGGTGCTTTAATTCTGTTGGTGTGCCAAACTTGGACCATTGTAAGCTTTAACTACAACTTTGTGTCCAGCATGTTTGTTATTTAGGGGACAGGTGCATTCTGTCATTGTCAAAGTTAATGTCAGACGTGCTTGCTTTTGCTTCACTGCATTGTCTAGAGTTGTAAACAGTGAGTTGGTTGTTACCGCAGATAACCGCTTCATTTTGTGGTGTCAGGTACTGAATTTGTCATCTCTGCGTCTGTTGTAAATATCTTGAAAGTGAATGGGCCAATAGCGTTAGATTTAAAGACGTTTGATTTTACAAGGTTTAACATGAGTAGCTGGTTCCATAAAGTTTTAAGTGGTTATCAGCCTGTCCCCACATGTAGTTTAATAAAAATAGTTATTGTAACTAGATGGTGAATCTCATAAACTGCTGTTGCCGCACTAAAACGGAAAAATCTTCGTGGCAACAAGGTTTAGTGAAAAAACAAAGCAACCCTAACTGCTCTGTCGTCTACCCTTGATGTTTTTCTCGGACAGGCTAAAGCAGTTATGTTTTCTGTATGGTTAAAAAAAAGTGCTTCTATACAGAAAGTGTTGTGACACCAATTATGAATGTTGTTTATTTTCAGTAATTTACCTCTGACTTATTTGGTGTCGTAATACTTTGATTTTTATCTCAGGGGTTGTCTGCAAACCAAAACTGACATGTTCTGTGTTTGGCACTGTTTACAGAATGCTTTGTATTGTTTTTCCTGTCTTCGCTGTGTGGCTAAATGTTCATTCAATATTAGTCTCCATGAACTTCCCTTTGAAAGAGCCTGTAAGTAGTAGAGTCTATGAGAGGGGAACTGGGGTTACTGGGAGGGACTGGGAGGGGGACTGGGGGGGAGAAAAAAAAACTTGCTATTTTCTTACATTTAGCTGTGCTAAACTGTACATAAATGTGAGGTAAGACCATAGGAAATTCACTTTATGCATGACAAAATAATGCAGTAAATACTTCACTTTGCTTAATGTTCATGTAAAGTTCATCTTTTTCTATTTGTAGAAGAATTTAATGCAATTTTGTTGTCCCCTGCTGAAACTGAAGAATTCTAATTTCATGTGGTCTTATGGATAAGGTAAACTGCAGATTTCTCTCTCTTTCTTTGTTGTTTTGTCCCCACCCCTCTTCTCCAGCAGTATTAAATGGCTGAGTGGCTGCACTTTATCGGTGTGCTAACTTTTGGTCAATATAGACCTCTTTCTGTGTACAGTCTGCCTGGTCAGACATTGAAAAATGTGCTGTATCTTAGTGTGCAAATCAGCTGTGTGTTTTACTGGGAATTTTTTTAGCTATATTTTCCTTTAGACAAGCAGGTGGTGATAAATGGTATGTTCTGCCTACGCATCAGATGCTGGGTACTACAGGCTTTTCTAATATCACTATGATTGTTTTGTGCAGTCTCTGTTGCTACTTTGCTCAAGACTATATGATCTAAATTTTGAAGGACTCTTATACCTCAGTCAACTAGTTAGTATTCTAATGTCCATTAGAATGAAAGTCATATAATTATTATTCATTAAGCAGCAAATGTATTTCTGTTTTGTTCCAGAAATTGCCATTAACCTTTCAAGAAAGGCAGCCGTTTTTTGGTGGATTTCGATAAAACAACAACACTGCTTATGCTGTTGAGTTTTACGAAATCTTTCCCTCAGCCCTGTGTCTGAGGACTGTATCTTGACCAATATTTGTCTAAATGGTTTAAAAATAAAAAAAAAAAAAAGCCAAACAAAAACCACACTGGTCTCAGTGCTTTGCAATTTTAGCTTTCAGTCTGTGCTCAGCAAAACGTGCACAAGAAGTTTTTGTTGAGTGTGTACAGAATATTTGATCTACTTACTGTCTGGAAGTTCTATTATTGCTAAAGCTTAAACCACTCATGAAACTTAGCACAGCTCACTTTTCTCTTTGGGGGACAGTTTCAGAAATGCTCATTGACTTTTCAGACCTGTAGTTCTTTTTACAGAAGGTATTTCCCATTGTAAGTACCTTTCCCACACTAGTCTGCCCAAGTCAAGTGAATTAAGTGGATCATTTTCACAAGTGAATAAAGGACTCTTGAATATACATATCACATTAAAATATTGTGAATGGATAATAAATTGAAAGTACATGAAGAATACGTAAAATGCATAAAAGTGTTATTTGTGAAAATGCATCTGTTATTTGGTTATCTATTAATGTAACTGAAATTTTGCAAGGTTAAACTTCATAAGGATTGGTCTCTAGGTGATAATAGGTCTTTTTTCTCCTCCATTCACTGAACTGCTTATGCCATTCTCATAAATAAAACTTGTATTTCTTTCTTCCACAAAAGTAGGATTCCCATGGATTTTTCTTCTTTCTGGTGAATCTAAGTATTTTAGTGCATTCCTATGGCCTTACGAACATTTTTGCAAATAAAACTTCAATTACAGTTATTTTAATGCTATATAGCTACTAAATTCAGAATAAAAAGTATAGTCCTTGAGAAAATGCTTAATTTTGAAATAGAAGTGTTCTACTGTGTGTGTTTAAGCACATTTTCTCTCTGGTATAAAGGTGTAATGTGAAGAGCTCCTGCAGATAAAAGTGAACTTGTCATGTGCTTAACTTGTAAACCTAATCATTAATTGTGTTTTGATGTGTATAGACAAAAAACCCAAACCCAACCCCTAAAAACAACTTCACACTTCAATGGTTTTATTATTCCATGTGAACTTTTTTACAACAATGTGTGTCTCAAATAAAAGTTACATAATGAAAAGTATTTGGAGTATTTGGTATGAAATATTCCACGTAGTTTTTGTACAGTTGGCATTTCCACTCTATTTTCGGTACATCTGTTGTGGAAAGGTGTCCAGCTGAGTTGCATCTGTAAAGCTTTGCCTAACTTCAGTGGCAAACTACAAGGGTTTTTGTATGGCTTTGCTTGTTCCTAAACTTGACTGTTCTTTGGAGTTCTCCTGAAATATCCTCTATTCCTGTAGTGATTGCTTAAATCTAAGTATATATTTCAGTGACCTTCAGCTTCATAAGGAACATATTTCCAGACATTTAGTGTTATGAAATACCCTTCCAAAGTAACTTCTGAGCAATGCCGGTAAAGATAACATGAGACACAATCTCCAATTTGATTAAGAATTATCTACTCGTTTAAGCCATTAACATTTTCTTTTTGTTGTTGTTGTTCTAAATCAGTGTTATGTGAAAAATCTGACTATTAAGTAACCTGAGGCACAAATATAATGAATTAATATAGCAAATGCTGTTTGTCCAGCTTCCTTCAACACTGAATATTGAGGGATTTGACAGAAATATCTGTTGGCTATTACATTAGCAATAGCTCTTGACTTTCAAATTACTGTGGTTTGGCAGTAACTCACAACTGGTATGAAAATTAGCGAACCTAAGGAAAGAATGGTTTTGCCTACCCAAGACAAAAGCAGATTAATGGTTGATACACCCAAGTAGGCACCCTAAGGAATAAATGGGAAACGCACGGATGACAAGTAGCTTCTAAAGTTTGTGCTTTTTACAAGTTCATCTAATAAGTGGTATTTAGCTGAAAGGAAGTCTCTTTACCTTAAGCAACAAAAAGCTGGAGTTACATTCTTGTTACACCTTATTATTTGTTGGGTTTGGTTTTTGTTGTTGTGTGGTGGGTTTTTTTTGTCCCCAGACTGCTTCTGGCAGACAAGTTTGCTGCTTTAGGACCAGCTGTTTAAACATTATCTTGCAGACCCCCTTGATCTGAAGTAGATGCTCAGCAGTCCTAAAATCACTTCTGCAAGTCCTTCGGTTCTCACAGAAGTTAGTGGCATGCATCTGCATCCCAATAACATTTTAAATACATTTGCATTCTCCATCTGTTAAAAGGAAATAGCAAGCATACTTACACTGCTTAAAAAGGGTGACTTATTACAGTTCCTGGATCTATTTTTGGTTGCAGAATAGCAATTACTATACAAGTAGTGCACACTTGCAGATCAGAGGCAAGTTATTGGTACATATGTAGAATGTATCCAGCTTTTATAATCTGGTAAAATTGCCTTCTTCCTAAATGATTCTTTTTCCAACTTGGTTGACTAGCGGCTCTTTAGAATTCTTGAACTATACTGAAGTCATCAATATAATGTAAGATTTCAAAATAATTTTTCTTTAGAAAGATTCTAATCCTCAAGGGATACATAAATGAAGCTTTTATGTTACATAATGTTATTCTTGCCACCTAGAGGTTTAAAGAAAGGGCATGGCATGGAACGCAAAACATACTGATGAGAATTTTTAGTTCTCTAGGATGTTTTCTGGTTGCTTCAAAAATTTTTTACTGCCTTTAGCAGAGCACATCAGCACTAAGCTTCTGGTGTGAACAGATGTTACATGAATTCCTCTGAGCACATATTCAGTACATAT